TTCTGAGCTTGATGGCCGCTTGATTACCTTCAAGCCTTTAAGACCCCAGACGCTATACTTTTTGATAGCCGGGCACCATCAGCTTTCTTCACCGGTTGTTGTTTTTTTACATACCTGTTACTATCACAAGGGGGCAGTATTCATATCAACCACAGCTGAATATAAGAAGACGGGTCAGCATCCAGTTTAAGTTCCCATGGAACAGATATTTTTTTGTTTTTGCAGTAGTTGCTGATTTTTCAGCACATGATTTTATGTTTACTTAGTGATGATAATTCATGAAGTGTCGTTTTACCTCCAATAATGCTACTTTCAACACAGTTGCTGCTTGTAACAGAGTAGCTGCTTTCTACACAGTAGCTGCTCTCCACATGTGTGACTGGTCCACATAAGTACATCTTGGTGCCAACCCTGTCACATACACCTGCATTTGTACAAGATGTATGTGATGGGGTTGAAGTGATGATGCTATCACGCTGGGTACTCTAATGTGGGTGTATCTGCATGTGAGAAGACCTGCCTGGAGACAGATAGAGGAGTGGTGTCTTGTATCCGAAGACCATCGGAAATATGTATTTTCCTATGATCTTAGGCGACCCCTGTGAAAGGGTCATTCGACCTCCAAGGGGTCGCGACCCACAGGTTGAGAACCACTGAGATAGGCAATGCCATGTAGTGGGTAAGCTATGGAGCCATGCTGCCTGAGACTGATTACTGGCTGGCTTTTCCTAGCTCTGGGACCTTGGGAAATTATTTAACTTCCTTATGTCTCATTTCCCCAGCTGAAAAACAGAAAATACCTCCCTCGTGGGGTCATTGTGAGGGTTAAATTAGTAAAATATGAAGCATTAAAAAGTGCCAGGCATGTCCTAGGCCCTCGATCGAGAAAGGTTTGTTGTTAGTTCTTAGTTGCCATCAAGTTGGTTCTTCCTTACAGTGATGTCCTGAGCAATAAAACAAGATGTTGCCTGGTCCGGTGCCATCTTCAAATGGTGGCACATGCAAGCCTACCTTTGTGACCACTGTGTGTTTCAGGTGGGGCTCATTTTTTCAGCACTCTATCAGGCAATACTCTCATCCACAGGATCTTAATTGGATAATTTGTGGAAGTATACCACCACACTTTTTCTTTGTCTGTCTTAGCCTCGAAGCTCTGTTGAAACCTACCTATCACGGTGAACCTGGTATTTCAAATACCAGCTGACACAGCTTCCAGCATCATAGCAACATGCAAGCCATCATAGCGTGACTATCTGACACAGGTTCTCAACCTGTGGGTCACCAACCCTTTGAGGGTCGAACAACCCTTTCACAGGGGTCGCCCAATTCATCACAGTATCAAAATTACAGTTATGAATAAGGAATGAAAATAATTTTATGGTTGGGGGGGGTCATCATAACATGAGGAACTGTATTAAAGGGTCATGGCATTAGGAAGGTTGAAAACCACTGATCTGACAGATTATCTGGGTGGTGACAATAAATGTTAACCATATTATTCAATAAATTACTAATAAGTAAATATTTCATGAATGCTAGTGATTTTCCCTAGAAAGACTCATTCATCCTCATATACAAAGGTCATAAGTCACAGAGTCAGTAGAGCAACAAGAAACCTGTCCTCCAATGCAGCCTAACCTCAAGTGAAGACTTCAGTTCTTAAAAGCTCATACTCAGAATAGATACTGAACCTCCCTAAGACTCTGCAGGAGTGGAGCGCCCCGGATGTGTCAAGAGAACTTGGTCCTTTACACCAACAAGAAAGGTGGGAATATAGGTAGATACAGTCAGGAGGGGTGGAGTTTAACTGGGGGCTCAATATAAGAATAATGGAATAAATGTGTTGCCTTGAGTTGTTCTTTGAAAGCGAAGTATTTTCCAGAGCAGTTAAGTTCGTAGCTGAGCTCAGACTTCAGCTCCTCCATGGTTTCACTGTCCATTTCACTCCCCAGTTTAGCCACTTCTTTCCCAAACAGCCTGTGGTACTCGTTCAGAATGTCTCTTGAAATGGTCTTAATCTGCAAGTGATAGTCATTCACCGCCTAGGAAAGATGGGGGGAGAGGGAGGTTCACTAAAGGGGCTGCAGAGCCATCCAAGCGAGGCGTCAACCAAGTCCACGTGGAAGAAGCACACCAGCTTGTGTGATCCAAACACGGTAATAACAAAATTCAAATATGGCAAAGGGAAAAGTATCAGAGCCTAAATTCCGGACACCCGATTTGTAGAAGGACAGTGGGGGCCCCAAACCCATTCGCAGAGTATCTAGTCTGATTCAGCCCCTGGCAGATCCCCACGAGCCAAAAGAAAGGGTCTCCAACAGTTTTACTATCACATAAGGGTCATTGTAATCGTGTTATACTGGATCGAACTTGATGTTGACCTCCTTTTTGACCCAAACTGAAATTCTTTGATGTGCAAGTATTTCTTGCTATTTCCATGACAAAAATTTCTTCCCTGTCCTTTTAAATATTCACAATGGTCTTTTCTTTCTTACTCACTATTTGTATTGCTATCTTTGCATTATTATTATTATATTCTTACTACTTTATTTTGTTTCTGAGTTTTATTGTTTCTGTTGGGTTTTCCAGTTTGTGAAGCACAGAAGGAGTAGATGCACAGAGATAAGGGGAGATGCAAAGGTTTATAGGGGAGGTAGGGATGGGGTGTGGTGGCACATAGGGATGGGAGGGGCAGAGGAGCAAACGATGTATGTGGGAGCGGGGACAGAGCACTAGAACTAGTGGTGATTACAGAACACATTTTAAAAGTGATTTAACCATGGGTGGTGGGGAGAAAGAAAATAATCTAAAATTGATTGTGGTAATGATTGTACAACTCTTCTTGATATGACTGAACCATTGAATTGTGTGATATGAGGATTAAGTGCCAACAAAACTGTTAAAAAAATAAAAAGAGGGTGCAGAGAGGTCAGGACTATGGATCAGAAGTCCACAACTGGACCAGGCTGTGTGTTCATTAGTCCTTTAGTATGTATAAATTGTCCTTTTCTTCTCAACTCAGATTAAACGTGTAGATGTAATTCACTGTATGCCACTGATCATGAGTGGAACCAGGAATGAAAATATGTGGTTTCTTTCTTTCTTTCTTTTAAAAAAAATCATTTTCTTGGGGGCTAGTACAACTCTTGTCAC